AAAATGTGAATCTGGGAAACCAACAAGAAAAAGAGTACATAATATTATAACTAGACATGAAAGTGAAAGATATGCTGGGCAACCAAGCGAACTACTTGTTAGTGACCTCCCAACAGGGAGGTCACTAACAGGTAGTTATGCTGCCATAGTATTAAAAGTGAAGAAATTTTAAAAATTTGGAAAAAAGTGAATCCAAATCTTCCACTAATGAAGGAGAAACCTCTAAGAAATAAGTTACAAAGAACATTTCAAAAAGTAATTGCAGCTGAACGATATAATGCTTCAAAACATAAAAACAGTGTTTGTTGGTTGAAAAATAATCTTTCAAAATTATTTGATATATCAACATGCAGATGTGAACTTCCTCTTTTAAATTGTGATGACAGGTTTGAAGTTACATTTTTAAAAAGCCACAATATTAAACAATATGTTTGTTCAAACAAATTTATCACTAAACTGTCAAGGAATTTTTTTTTTTTTTTTTTTGTATTATTATTTTTTATTTTTTTTATTATTTTAAATTCTATAAGTTATAAAATGAATTTTTTTAATTTAAGGTTTCAGTTCTAGAATGAGAGTGTTTAAAGGATCAGAAAGCTAAGAAAGGTTTCTTTGGAACCTGGCAGATAGGCTAAATTGATAAGAAAAAGACAGCCAAGATCAAAAGAAAAAGAAGCAATGAGAAAATTAATTTAACAAGTGACACGGCACTTCATTCAGATAATGATTGTATCAGTGAAACTTATGATGTGGAAATAGATAACAGTGATGATTATAAAAATCAGAATCATGAGTTTTTTTCAAAACGACTGTTTTGAAAAAAACTGCAAAAAAAATTACACAGATTTAAATAACAGTCAAAACTTTTTATAATCTATGTTGCAAGATGATGAAAAAGATATAAGGGCTCAGGCTATTAAGCAAGTTTTGCACATAAGGCAATCAAGAAAAGTAAATCCTGAAGTCAAACCAAAAATCAAAGCTAAATTAATTATGCCTATTAACTTTAACGCTGATAGATGAAGTAGTTTAGTTGATGTTTCTTTAATTGAGGTTGAACCTCTAACTTCTATCCTAATTTCATCATTTGAATTAGAGAATGCTTTGCAAACTTCTGAAAAACCTATTCTTACAGATTTACCTAACAATTCCCAGTCAGTGGAAAGGTGAAGCTTGTATCAGAGGCATCAAAGATAGTTTATGGTCAAGTAAAGAGACATAATTTTATTCTAACTAAAAACCAAAGCAGATTAGAAAATAAATGTAGTTCATCTAAAACTGATTACTTTATTCCTTTTTCTTGAAAAAATGTTATTTTTTTTTAAATTTAATTTGGTTCACATACAAATGGCAAATCTCTCTTCAGCCCTTAACTTCGAAATCACCCTTGTGCAGAAAAACATGTTGAACAGGGTATTTCAGAAATAAACAGGGACGAACGCAGCCCGAACCAAAATTTAAAAAAAAAATTGTTTTAAAAAAGTTAGGGGGGGTAACACTATTGCCCCTCCGCCCCCTGTTCTTATCCCAGTGTTTAGGATTATAAGGTAAATATTCATTCTATAATATTCAAATATTCTAATGGAAAGAATATTTATATCAAAGTTTGTACTAAAGTATAATAAATATTGAGAATGCCATAAAAATGAATAATTCATTGAAAACAAGAAAATACTTAGAAACTTCAAAACCATTTCCCAAAATTGCCCTTAATCCAATCAGTCTGAAATTTTCAGGATTGTCTTAAAATCATATGTACAACAAATCCCGAAGTGAGAGATATACATATATATATATATATATATATATATATATATATATATATATATATATATATATATATATATATATATATATATATATATATATATATATATATATATATATATATATATGTATATATAATATATATATATATATATATATATATATATATATATATATATATATATATATATTATATGTATATATATATATATATATATACATATATATATATATGTATATATATATATATATATATATATATATATATATATATATATACATATATATATATATATATATACATATATATATATATATATATATACATATATATATACATATATATATATATGTATATTATATATATATATATATATATATATATATATATATATATATATATATATATATATATATATATATATATATATATATATATATATATATATATGTTCTATATGATAAAAAAAACACTGGTTTTGATAAACTTTTGAATAAAAAATATTTTTAGGAGTTCCTCAACCCTTGATAATTTAATGAATTCCTAATATCATCAAAAAAAAATTATTCAAAAGTGCATCAAAATGGTTCTCAAATGACCCAATATTATACACTTCATTTTTTATGATGTTAAATCTAACATATTTATTTTTTTATAATATAGTTATAATTTTTGAAATTTTCTAATAATTTTGCTTCATTTGAGACCTAACATAATTAACACTTTTGAGGTATTTTTTTTTAATAATATTAGGAATTTGTTATATGTTTAAGGGTCTTGAGGGGCCCCTAAAGCTTCTATTCAATTTTTAAGGGTCTTGAGGGACCCCTAAAGCTTTTTTTCTATTTTATAACAGCTATTCTTCTATTCTTTTTGAAATGAAGGCAAAAAGAGAATCACAGTTTTTGTATTTTATTTATAGTGAGATTGTGTTTTATGTAGAAACCTCTGATTTTAATTTTATCTAACAATTTTTTTTATTGGGTAAAAATCAGGTGAATTGCCCAGTTACAAGGCAAGAATATTAATAGCATTATTTTAGAGCTATGCCTTTATACATTTTTGCTGAAAGCAAGTTTCCCTGTTCTGCATGAAAATATTGGCACATTGTTAAACACATTTTTCTTCAAAATAATTTGTAGAATTGACCTTACCTTGTTTTAAAAGGTGAAAATTAGCATGACTGTTGGGAGTAATTGCACTCCAAATCATAATTGCTAAACATAGCTTAACAGAAGATCCAACATATAAAGGATTCAAGCAAATGAATTTAGTTGCCAATAAACATTAGCTTTGTATTCTGCAATCTCTATGGGTAACTTGTGCTTTGTCTGAGAATATGACACATTACTCCATTTTATCCTTGTGTTCTTTGCAAAATTGAGACAATGACAAATATATTTTTGAGAAGAGCGTGGTTTTAATGCAGCAAGATGCAATCAAAAAGTTCTTGACATAAACTTTTTAATTGTCAAAATTCAACTTGTCTTTGAAATGTGCTGACACTAACAATCACTCTAGGAGGTTAGTTGAGAATCAATTGCAAGCTTGAAGAATTTATGATAATTTTATGGATTGATACTATCTGTTTTTTTGATGCACTGAATGATATTATGAACAGTAGTATTAGGCATCTTCAAATGTGTAACAATTATTCTAACATTTTCCTATTGGTTGATAAACACATGATCACCCACACAGTGTATGATTAATTTAAGTGTTGTCAGTGTGTAAATGTTTTGCATTTATAAGTAGCTATCTACAATAATTATGAGTGGTCAAATAATTTTGGCTATTAATGTAATTAAATCAAGATTCGGAACACTTTAACCTGCTTTCATATTTTGTTTGTAAAATTTGAAGTAACATTGATTAGTTTGGCAATATATAAGATTTAATAACAAAAAATCATCTTAATTTATCAACAACAACAAACAAATGTAAATATATATAAAAATATATTATACAAACTTGAAATAAACTTACATGCAATCCTTTAAGAAAAACATCATTCCCAAGAAACCCATCTAACATTCTTAATATATAGCTTCCCTAGATAAAAATATTTAGCCCCTTTATAAGAATATGTGGTATTAATATAAAGTAATAAAATATTTATAAAAACATGAATAAAATAAAATATTTTAACACTTAGATTTTGAGGAGGCTTGATTGTGGTTTTACACTTATTATTAAAATTAAAAAAACTCTATAATTTTTAAATCTAGACTCCAGACTTTCTAAACAGCATTTTTATTTTATCAGGTTAAAATACTCTGTGAGTGTCAAAATATACAGATTGCATATAAAAAGTATTGATATATGTTACCTTTTTATAAGATATTACATCAAATATTTCTGAAATTTCATTTGGATGAGTTACATCAACGTGGATTGGATGTGATGATTCAAGAGCATCTAACTTTAGAGCAACTGCTCCATCACTAACTACTTGATCATCAGCCTATATTAATAATAAAAAACACAAATAGAGCAAGAATATGTCTTTTTCTCTAAACTTTTAGCATTCAAATTTAGCATGTTGTGTGTAAAAAGTGTGAAGCATTGGAAAAAAATGAGGTTAAATGCAAAAAGTAAATAAAAAATAAATTTAAAAAGTAAATAAATAAATAAAAAACTCACAATGTTCCAACTAGGAAATATTTTTTCTATTCCTAGATATGACACAAATGTAGCAAAACCTTCATTGAGCCAAAGATCTGACCACCAATCCATTGTTACAATATTTCCAAACCACTAAAAAATAAAAAAATATTTATTTTTTCAGGAAGAAGTTGCCTTAACAAAATAGTAGTTTTGATCATAAAATTTCTATGAATTTCCTTAAGTTGTAAGTGTTAAAAATTTATAAAAAACAAAAAATAACAGAATATGATAAATAAAGGTGTAGTTTTAATAATCTAAATTTCGTGATTTTGATTTAAGAACACAAATTGTAGATTTAATAACAACTACAGTGTTGGAAAAGATTACAATTTCTTGCAGCAGAACATGCAATCACAATTTAAAACAGCAGTAAATGCAATCTAAATTTCTAACTTGTAGTAGATAACATATTTTGAAAAAAATTGCAAAGGATAATTTTTAAATTAAATTCAACACACCAGATGTGTTGAGTGTTTTGAAACAATATAATAACAAACCATATGAGCAAGTTCATGTGATACTGTAGTGGCTATATACTTTTTATTTAAAATTGCAGACTCATTTGGATTGAAGAGCATATACTCTAATCGATAAGTTATTAGACCCCAATTTTCCATTGCTCCAGCAGCAAAATCTGGAACTGCAACCATATCTATAAACAAGAGTAACATTTTTATGATTAATGTATCTTTTATTTTCAAACACAAAATTGAGCTACCCAAAATTAAATATTAAATAGTTTTACCCAAAATTAAATATTAAATAGTTTTTTTACTTTCAATAACTTTTTTGCTTGAAATAGCATTTCTTAAAATTAATTGCAACAACATGAAGAAAAGAATGTAGTGCCTTTTCCTTCTTTGAACAACTTCTATTTTTGTAGGGTTTTTTTTCAATAAACGATTTAAATATTTTAATTATGATCACACACATTGATTTAATACATATTGATTTGTAATTTACTTTTAAGTTATTTTGAAAACATAAACATTATATTAAAAAAATAGTAAAAAACTTGTTAAGGTACTTTAGTTAATGTATGTGCATATATCGTCACTGCAAAACAAGACCATCTTAAGTCTGTTTTGGCTGTTTTAAGAAAAAGACATTTAAAGTTTTAAATTTAATCAGTGCTTTTGATTTTTGGATTAACTTGTTTTCAGTTATTTATTATATGTATTAAGTATTTTAAACCAAAATTTTAAAAAAAAATTTTTGCCAAAAAATGGACTTAAAATAGTTTTGTTTTGAAGCAACGTTGTCTCTTAGTTATTATTATTTTTTGGCATAAGATATTTGAATTTTACTCATAGTTTCAAAAGTTGAATCAATTTTGGTTACGTAGATGACTTTAGTGCAACTAAAGAGTATTTTAAACCAAAAAAAGCCAATTGCTAAAAAAATACATTTGCCAAAAATGGAATTAAGTTTTGGTTTGCAGAGATGATATATGCTAAAATTTATAGATCTTAAATATTTAATTTAAAATTCTTTTGAAAGTTTACAAACAATAATATTTTTGCTAAACAATTATAATAACTAGAAAAATTTTTCTAGTTATTATAACACAAAACCATTTGTGTGATAACTTTCTATTGCAATACTCACGAGAACTGTTTAAATAAAAGTTGGTTAGTTAAAACTTTTTTAGCAAATGATTATCTTTTTTCAGTAATATGATTATTACCAAAAAACTAAAAACAATTGCAAAAGTTTTTTTATATTATTTTTTTATAGATTTATATTTAATATAATTAATTTAATATAATAGAATATAGATTTATGTTTAAATTATGAAATGGCTGCTAAATGTGTTTAAGATTGAATCTTTTTTTTTTTATCAATAATAAAATTTTTGTAGAAACATTTTAGATATTAATTATCAGTAAATACATTTTACTATAAAAAATCTCATTGAAACAACATTTTTTTTTACTATAAAAAATCTCATTGAATTAACTTTTTTTTTTTTTAACATCATTTTAAAAAATTATAAAACAATGTTTGATGATTGCTATGTTTTGCCATAAAGTACCAAACAAATCTAAAATATACCAAATGCACTATATTCTCAATTCATTATCTATACTCACTGTATTTTCTATATGCTGTATTCTGTATTAAAACACTTTAACTATTCTTTAGTTTTTTTACTCACCAACTTTTGGAAGAGGGTATGAAACATTGTAATAGGCTTCAAAAAAAGGAAGAATTTCTTCACCAACTTTCAATGCAAAATCAAGCTGGTCAATCTGCGTTTCAGGTGCATAAAATTCCATCTAAAAGAGTAACAAAATATTAAGGAAACTATTAGAATTAAAGAATAATTTTCTATAGATCCAACATCATGATATAATTGCAATATGATATGTGTAACACAAATATATATATATATATATATATATATATATATATATATATATATATATATATATATATATATATATATATATATATATATTAGGGCGCATCAAACGCCCCATACTTTCAAAATTTGATCTGTCTCTATTCTTAAAACCATCTGTTGGTTCTCACGAGACATCCTGTTAAATTTTTTTAAAATTGAATGAGATTTAGGGGGGCCACATTAAGTCTGAAACTTGCAACGAGACCCTAAACAGAAGAAAAAAAAGTTTTTCAAATATATGTCATGTTGGGTCTCAAAAGAAGCGAAACTTTATAAAAATTCAAAAATAGTTATATTTTTTTATTAAAAATACTTTGAAAAAAAATTTCGACCAAAAACCATGAAAAAATAGCTTTTTTAAGTTAATAAACTTATCTTAGAATACCTTTAATCAACTTTTGCATAATTTCAGTTATATTATTTTCTAAAATTGAGAAGCTTATTATAGGGCTTCAATTCTACCATTTTTCTAACTACTTACATTACTTTGTCTTACAAAAACCCATTACACATTTGCAACCACATCAAAAGAATATTTTTAACTTCAACCCATGCTTCCATCTTTGTGCTAAATTATACTTATAAGCTCTCTTGTTGGTCAACAAACTTTTTATGAGTTCTTTAATAGAACCCTTTTAACTATGTCCTTTTAAATAGAACCCTTTTAACTATGTACTCACTATTCATTTAGCACGGTTTGAAAACTAAATTACCAGTTGCACAAATAAGTGAGACAATTAAAAATTATTTCCAAAATCTCTGAAAATAATAATTCTTTCCTCTTTAATATCTATACAATTAATTAGGATTAATTATAAATTAGAGCATTTGTTATTATAAGTGCAGATTTAGGATCTAGAATTCAATGTCAACTTTGATCAATTTAAGTTAAAACTAACACTCAAGTAGAAAAACATTAAAACACCTTTTTCATCACCAAACCTGAAAATCCATTTACAAAAACCACATTCAATTAACCAAGTTATAATAAATTTATTAGTATTTTTATTTTAATAATATATTTATTATTTATTAGTATGAAATAAAAATTAGAAAAAATTTCAGGCCATCTTTTCAGGATGAAAAAAAGTTTAATGGAGATACACCCTAATATATACATATATATATTAGGGTGTATTAAAACTACATCAAAGGTTAAACTCATAATGGTCCATTAGGAAACATGCTGCTATGGCGTCAAGCAACAGGATGAAGTAAGAAGGATTGATGCTAAAAGTCTAAAGCCTTTTACTTGTTCTTAATTTGTTAAATTTTTCTTTTTATCAAAGTCACTTAACGCCTAGTAGTTGCTAAGCAACCTGAATCATTTTTAATTAGACTTTCTAAAATCAAATAATTTTTTTTTTCAGGTTCAGTTATAAAGGTAAAAGCAAGAAAGTACCAGCACTGCTTTAGCAGCATTCTAGCTTAAATAGTGAACTAATATCTGATTTATCTAGCTTAAATAGTGAACTAATATCTCAAGATAATGTCAGTTATAAAGTGCATTATATCACATATACTAAACTTTATATCTGTCAGCTATAACAATGCCAAAATGCTTAGTTTGCCTCCTATTTGCCTCCTAAATATTTTTTATAATATATATATATATATATATATATATATATATATATATATATATATATATAAAGCAAATATCTATCAGTATATGTCTTTTTTATAATGTAGCCAGTCTAAATCTCAACAGGAAATCTTTTTTAGACAAGAGTTGATAAGACTTTTTAAGAAATGAAATATAGCTTTTCAAATATTATATATATACCAACTGGTTTATTTAGGGATAAATACAGTAAAGTATACATAGATCAAATACAAGTTGGCTGGGACAGACATTAGCCATAATTTTTTACATATCATTTTTTCTTTCATTTAAAAAATTGAAATCCTGTTATGATACAATAAATATAGATATTTTAATTTAGTAATAAAGAAATTAACAACTTGTTTATAACTGATTACCTTGATATTTCCAGATATACCAGTGTATGCAGATTTCATTTTGAAATCACATACAACAAAAGCAACAAGATAAGTTGACATAATTGATGATGTTTTAAAAGTGTTTTTTGTTTTTCCATTTTTCGTTTCTGAACTCTCAATAGGCATATTAGATACTGAAATAAGTTGACTATCATGATTTAAGGTTAGCTTAAATTGTGCCTTCATGGAAGGTTCATCAAAACACGGAAAAGCAGTGCGGGCTTCAACAGGTGCAAACTGGGTAGATGCTAAAAACCTGAGTAGTGTAACAAAATCATTTTAAAATTAAAAAGTAACAAAATAAATTAGAAAATAAACAACATAAACATTTATAGATGAGCAATTTGTAAAAAAACCAAGTAGTGTACTCAACTGTAATGACTTGGTGTCTCAACCAACCTTACCTTAAGAAACCAACTTGACTAAAAATAAAATGGGTAAATAAATTGATAATAATTTAAAAATTTTAAAACAGCTTTTAACAACCTTTCCTTTCCTGCATTGTTTCTGTATGATGCCTTATAAAATCCTTGCAGATCATTCTTGAGCTTGTATAAAAATCGATATTTTAATATATATTTCCCTGTATCAAGTAGTTTGTCAAGCTTAACAACATAGTACTGGTTCTCTGGGTAGAAAAACTGTGATTTTGAAGCAATAGTATTGCCTTCAAATAAAATGTCTGCATTTATTTTTTCAAAGTGAAATGCATGAACAATGACATACTTTGTGGGTGTATAAACCTCTACATGAATATCACATGATCCTAGAACAATATCAGTTGTTAAATTGACATCCAGGTAGATATTATAAAAATATGGTTTAATGGAGGAGGGAAGTCGAATGTTATAGTAAGGCTCATTTCCACTGTGAACAGAGTTATTTACAGATGAGTTCTTCAACACCAGACTGGAATAGTTTTCATGCACAACAGATTTGGCTACAATAAAATATATAATCAAATTTAAAACATTTTCTATTTAAAAAAAAATTAAAAACGTTATTTTTTTTTAAACTATTTAAAAAAAGTAACATAAAATAGCAAAATAAAAACAAAACAAAGTTAATTTTATGTTATTTTTCATAAAAAAACTCACTATGAAAAGAACTATTATCCGGTAATATTGTTGACACTTTATTTGATATAGTTTTTGCTAAAAAAAAATGCATTAAATATATTCTAATAAATGTAAATATTCTAATAAACAACTAGATCAAAAATATTTAACTTTAAAGTTCCAAACTATCTGCTTCTAATACAAATCTGTTGCTTATTTACTAGGCTTAAAAAACCTAACTATTTGCTTCTAATATAACTTAACTGTTTATTTATTGAGTTTAGAAACAACCCAATTATTTATATATTTGAAATATGAAGTGAATGTATCAATAAACAATAATTATTTTTCCAAATTATCAGCTTTATCAACTCATTCAGTCAAAAGTAATATAACTTCACTATTATTAAAATATAACTTTATAATAAAAGACATTTATAAACCTAATTTAAAAATTAATTACTTTTAATGTAAAGCCAATATAGTATTGTTTAGTGCATTTTCACTTTTTTTAAATATAAAAATGAAATATAATTATATATACATACTTTTAAAGTTAATAAAAAAAATAATAAAAAAAGATTTAATCAGACATGATTAAATGATTTTCTTATTACATGATTTTTATTATTTCAAACAGTTAGATGCTCTGTACAGGTGATAAGTATCAATGTACTTTTTTAACTATACTAAGTTTCATGTAATGAAATATTTTAGATTCTTTTGCTAAAGAACTGGTAAAAGTTGGTGTTATGATTAATGAAGAGAAAATTGAAGCAGGGGGTTTGGAATGGCACAATTGATACTTAATAATATTTGATAATACTTGCTTAAAATGGTTTAAGGCAATATATGTATGTGTATTTAAATGTACTGGCATTAAAAGTTGTATGATTTCGACAGACGCGGCAAATAAAATTTCACATTTGTTGGTTACGACATCAAAAAATTAGAGCATCAAACTATGAAAAACCATCTTGGCAGCATTGAAAGAATTTGATGTCTACTTAAATGAAAAAAATGTTAAGTGACCCATCATTTTATTGTCAGATGGACATAGCATAAGACTAGACTTTGATGTTTCATTTTTTCTTGAGTTAAAAAAAAATTCGTCTATTTGCCACTCCACTAAACACAACAGAAGTTATTAAACTTTCTGACCAAGTAAATAAGAATATTTATAACAAGTATCGTAAACAGAAAGACAATAATTTTAGATATCTGTTTCTTATAATAAGAAGCTTTTATGTTAGTTCTAGCCAATATATGGGAAAAATGGACTACCAAAGAAACTATTATAAAATCTAGAAGTGTTGGTGCTACTGAAGATTTAATGAGTGTTGAATTTATGCAAAAAAACTACTTTGAAAGAGCAGAAAACTGTATTAAAGCAGAAAAACAGTCATCTCCCATGATTTCTTTGCCTAATAAAAGAAGCGGTTCAGCAAGAAGGAAGTTAAAATTTTTTTTATAAAATGCATGCTTAAAGGTAACTGTGGGGACATAAAATGTAAGCTTTCGGCCTAAAGCAGTGTCCTACCTGTGACAGGTTGGACACTGCTTCAAGTCAAAAGCTTACAGTTTTATGTCATTTTATGCAAAGAGACATTATATGTAAACAGACTTCATAATGTTAAGACAGAGTCTTAACGTTATAAAGTCTGTTTACAGCAAAGTAAATTGAAAAGTAAATGGATGAAATCCAGAAATGATCCTACCAGCAAGCGCTAGAGAGAGATTATGGAAATATTTTAATGAGATATTTGTATAAATATTGCACAAAATTAGTGTAGAAGATTGATTGGTTAAATTTTTTTAACCCCAAAAATCATGTTTAACTATACATTTTAAAAGTTTTTTCAAAAGTTTTCCCTAAAATGCAAATGGTTTGATCTATGTATAGAGTATATAAAAGAAAAGTAAACTAGATTGGATTCGCAAATTTAGCCTAGAAGACTGAAACTTTATAGCAATTGTTATTAAAAATTTTAAAAATTTTATACAATTTTTTAAACTTAAAATGCTTCTAAAAAATATCCATTGTTATCTTTGTTTTCTTCTCTTTTAATATCGTTGGAACATTCATGTATTCAAAAATATTTATTTTATGGTTTTAAAATACAGAATTTAGTTTTAATAGCCATTTAACTGACCACATTGTTACTATGATGCCTTAGTTTTTGGGATGCATTCACCTGTAGATTAGTTTTAAATTTATTTAAAAAATCTTCACACTTGCACCAGAATCATGGAAACAAAAATTACATCAAACTACTTTTAAGTAAATTAGTGTCATTTTTAATTTTTGCCCATGAATAATTTAAGTGTCTGATAATCATTATATGGATCATTGTCTTGGATCACTCTCTGAAAATTTTTTAAATTAAATTTAAATTTTAAATTGAAGTAGTAGTCTGTTCGTTGCAAATAGTTTTGCCTTATCTTTGGGATAGGTGATAAGGCCAGGCCCATGAATTTTGCTCTAAGTTAACTACAAAGGAGGAAACTAACCAAAAACTGCACAAACAAACATTTTTTTAGAAAAAGTAAATTAAGAATTAAAGCAGTAGATCTGTTACAGTTCCTGGTAGAACTGTTTCTGGCACAAGAATGTATCATTATTTTTTTTCCTGTTTAAAAACAATAAGTTATAAAAAAGGAAGAACTTATACACTTATTGAAATGTTAATTATTATTCTTTAAAATAAAAAAAAAGCCAAAGAGATATTATTAAACAATAAAAAAATTAGTTATATTGCATACTTTTATAATGAATTTTGGTGGATAGAAACTACTGAAAATCTATGTGAACCTAACATATACTTGATATTTAAGCCAAATTCATGTATCCCCATCGACTAATTAAAAATATCTTTTGGCTTATAAGACTTATTTTAAATTCCAAAATTATATTCCTATTTTCTACACCCGCAATATTATTAGGTTGTACATACACCATTTGTATTAAGATTTAAAAAACTTGCTTACAAAAAAAAAGTATTTATACTTAAAGTATAAAAAAGAAAACATCATAAAACTTTAAAAGATGTAAACATGAGATTTTTAAACTAGAGCTTTTCAACCTATTTTGCTTCTCATAAAATTATTTCTCTAAATACTTTAATAAAAATATTAATAACCTTAAATCACTTGAAATGAAACAAGAACATGATAAATACAAAATCTGATAATCAAAATGCAGTAACAAAATTAGCAACTTACTTCTCATGAAATTATTACTCTATATTCAATAATAAAAAAAAACAACTTAGAAAACTTAAAGTTTAAAATAAACTTAAAGGTAATAAGACTATCACTGACTAAAAACAAACTTATTTAATGACTTTTTTTTAAAGCCGATAACAATCTTGAATAAGAAATCTTTTAAACATAAATAAAGCTTGTAACCATAACCTAAGTTTTTAATTTAAACTCAACCACAAGTCTCAAAAGATCATTTATCTACAATGAGTCAGAAAATGCACACAGGTCATTTTTTCATCATAATTTTTACAAATATACTTATTTTAGCATCAAAAGAACTAAGACATCCATGAAGCAATATACTAATAATTTATTATTTATAAATCTTGTTAGTAAATAATAAATTATTAATATATCATTTTATTTATAATAAAAGTATTGTTTAAAACTGCAGAAGTTATACCAATCTATGAAAAAAAAAAAAAGATTTAAACATCAACTATCTATTAACCAATACCATTAAACTATTAACCAATACCATTATTGTTTATATACCATTATCATTTATATATATTAGTGAATTGGTAAAAAAATGTATGTACAAGAAATAAGGCAGTATTTTCAATCAGGTATTTGATACTAGGGATCATAGAATTCTGTTATTAAAATAACATAATTTGATATCAAAGAAATTGCCCACACATGGTTTAAATTGTATCACTTGAAATACTCTCACATTGTTATGATTTCAAAACCTCTTCTAATACTAAATCAAAGTCAATATAGATGTACTAAATGACTTAATTCTTGGTTATCTTCTTTTTCTTATCTATATAAACCACCAAAGATATGTTATTTTATATATAGTATTATATATAGTAACTGAAAAATGACACATGTCCTTGTAACTAAATTATCTTTCGAAAAATCTTATTTTAAATGTATCATGAGGTGGCATTTCATACTATTATTGCATTAATTCTATTAACTATTCTATCAACTAATGGAGTTAGAGATTTTACAATTTTACAATTTACATTTTTTAATGGAATTAGAGATTTTACAATTATACAATTCTATCAACTAATGGAATTATATTCCCTGTGAAATCAAGACTACTCTATCAACAAAACTAAAAAACTTATTAGAGACAAAAAAAACATAATTCTGTTATGTTATTGATCTACCTATTTGTATACAATCTTCTGATTCTTTGCATGCACTTGTAGTTTAACATTAGATAAGTTCTTAGAAATTAAATGATTTTTAATTTGTTGTTGTCTTTTTTTCCTTTGGTTGCATTCACAAGTTTAGTCCTACCTATCTTCTTTTTCCTTTTAACTCGTTTTCATCACTATTATAATATTATCTTAAGTATAATAACTATTACTATTGTCATCTATGTTGTTGTTCCTAAAACTTATAGGAACTTATAGTGTAAGTATTTTTCTTATATTAATGTTGTTTTTTCTTGTTTTTAATATTGCTGATCATATTTTTACTTTTCTTGTGTTAGTATTATTGTTATTGTTACTGTTGTTATTATTTTTATTAATGTTATTGTTGTTACTCTTTTTATGATTGTTATTACTATTAATCGTGTTATATCATTATTATAGTGTTTAAATAGGTGTTTACGTTAGATAAGTACATGCTCCAGTGGGCACAAAACGTGTTTTAGACGTCTGAAATCTGTCTCGCTCCCACTCGGGTGTTATGCTTAGTGAGTTAGAATTCACTTTTACTGGACAAAATTCATAACTAATTTAATATTAGGGCTATATTCACTAAAACTTGCATGAGTACTTATAAGGCGTTTGAGTTGCTTATGAAAGTTTAATCTTTTTACTTTGTTACTATGGATATTTTTGTTTAGCAACAACTTGTTTTTG